TCAAAATTTTTGACAATTTTGGGAGAATTATCAATAATTTCAAAAATTGCACCTCGTTGGGGCCAAATTGATAAATCCTACTTGGCTCTTAGAAGGGCCAAATTGAGAAAAAGTTCCAAAGTAGAATTCATTAGGGCCAATTCAGATTTTGAAGGGGTCGAAATGGTACCTGTCCGACCCGTTTTGGCTTAAATAGTCCAAAACGAACCTCGATGGGCCAAATTGGCCCTCAAGACATTAGGGCCAATTTGGCTTTTGGGTCAATTTGGCTCTTTTCATTTTATTGTGTATACTAGGTGATGCAGCTCCTAAACGAAAACTGGGACCTGTCTTTTTCTATTTCAAAATTTACCTTCCTACAAGTTAAACAACCAATGGATGAAGTTTGACAAAAATCTCAGGGCAGGTTCTTTTTCCGAGGACTGACCTTAGGATCACACTCCAGGTGCTTCGAAAAAAAAAATCCGTATTAAAATAAACTTTAATGCGTTTCATTCGGATAACACATTGGTAACATGGTGCTTTTTTGAACAAAACGTGCTTTTAGAAGTCCGAAGAAAAAAAAATAAATAGAAATGATAACGAGGGAGTTTATGGGGATATGCTCTCTTGATTGTATAGCGAACCGTGCAAAGAATCGATAAATTTCTCATACGAGAATCATGTTTACTTCTCGTTCTACAAATTTCAACCTACCCGGTCACCACATCTTGTCACTTTCTAAGCCGAGAACAACGGTGTATAGTCTACATTCTTTTAATTACTTGGCTGCTAAACTATGGAATTTCCTATTTGATGGCCGGAGAGCTTGCGAGTATTTATATGAATTTAAGAGAAAAATTTTTAGTTTTGTCAATTTTAATATTTCATATAATAAGTATGTACTTTTATATCTATTGTAAATTACATCTTATATTACAGTATCTTATATTTTATTAAAGTATCATTTGATAGGCATGTAAATCTTATATTCTTATTATCATTTGTATTTTCATTATATTTTATTATATTTAACATGAAGACATTAGCTTTGTAGTAACATTCACATTCGTGTTAAAATAAAGTTTATGTATGTATCGTGTGACTGCTTTTTGCGTTATCGTGTTTTCATTTAATATGTCAAAAACGAGTGCGAGTGTTTCATCAGGGGTTCCAAACACCGAGAAACAGATGAAAGCACGAGGCCGCAAGCCGAGTGCTTTTATTGTTTCGAGGTGCTTGGAACCCGTGATGAAACACGAAGCACGAGTTTTTGACATGACTTCTCAATCACGCCTTAAAAATACAATGCAATAAAAGCATGCAAAAATAATGTTTTCCCTGCGGGAATGGTAAATAGCTCATGCAAGTCTCTGTCTGTATTTTGAGAGCCGTTTGTTGTATGTTAGCAGTGTTTCATTGTATTTGATGGTTATGGCTGAGAAGGAGAAAGGAGGACCGAGTCGTTTCCGTTTGCCGAAAAGTGCAGCTGAGGAAGAAGTCCTGGCCAATGAAGCTGTTCAATCGGTAAAATTTCCGCACAGCCCCATACTATTGTAAAACAAATCTGTTTTCCCAATGGCAATGTATTGTTTTAGTCATTGTTTTCTCTATTCAAGAACTGAATGCATAATGAAGTATGGGGCTGTGCGGAAATTTTACCAAGTGCCGATTTTAGATCCCGGTGGTCTTTTCAAAGATTATGAATTGCACAAGGTTAATCCTGTTAGTTGTGAATTAGAGGATATGGATGCCATATCTCTTAACTACTGGCTCACGAAGTTTGTAATGGAAGTCGCCAAAGATTCAGGGGAAAGGTATCCAACCAGAACTGTGTACGGGATAGTGTGTGGTCTAAAGCGTCATTTGGGAAACAAATATGGCGACGAGGAGTTGAATCCACTTGATGCTCACGATAAAAGGTAAGGAAAATTAAACACGTTGTTTTTGCTTGTTTGGTATTTTTTATTTCGGGAATAGTTTCAGTTTTTCTTTAAAGTGACATACTCTTGTTGGTGGATTAATTACTATACGTTCGGCATTTTTCGGCGTGCCTTAGATGCAGAGATAAAGAATGCCACCAAAGAAGGCCTCCATATCAAGTGCCGAAAGGAGGAGAAAGAATTTGTCACCGCCGAAGTAGAAAGAAAATTCTGGGAGATGAACTTATTAGGAACGAGCGCGGCCAAGTCATTATTGTATACAGTGTATTTTTACAACGGAAAAATCTTTGGTTTACGAGGTGGAGATCATAGAAATATTGTGTGAAATAATTTTGAGCTGGGTCTAATTTTATTAAGTTTGAAGAAAATTCTTTTGAAACATTTCATGGAGGAGTCTCTGATCTGAAATTTATTCCCACAACAGTTAAGCATATCTGTCACGAAGAAGGCGTAAAACACGAGCCTTGTCTTGTTGAAATATATCGCTTTTATATAGGCTTAGTGGAAGTCTTTGGAAAGAATGGTAATGCATTTTACTACAAGGCATCTAAGGCCAAATTTGGTTTTGAAAAAGTTCCAGTCGGTATTAACACTCTAAACTGATTAGGTATTGTCAGATTTATGTGAGGCAGCAGGGGTGAAACGGAAAACTGCGCATTGCCTACGCGTCACATGTGCTTTTTAATGCTGGGGTAGAAGAAAAGCTTACACTTGAGCGAGCAGGACATCGGTCCAATGCCTTATTAAAGTATGAGAAACCCAGCGAGGAAAATAAAGGAAAGGTATCTTATTTGCTGGGTCCAAATGCTGTGCTAAGTACTTCCAAAGGGGAAACATGTAAACAAGAGGATGAAAAGCCATTAAGTTCTTTATTTAATGCTGCATTCCACGAGGGAACTTTCCAGAATTGTAATTTTCGAAGTACAGTAGTGAATAATTGATTGTATGGTAATTGAGGTTGCCAATTAAAATTCAAGTGTCTCGATTAGTGTTTTCGTCAGTTTTTTAACTAACCGGAGTAATCTTGATCTAGATTTTCATTGGGCATCAAGATACATGTACCTGACCAAAATGGGGCACTCCGATTGGCTTATAACCATATGAATAATTAATGAGTTTGAGAACGAGTTATGAAGCGAGCAGGTAGCTTGGGGAGCACAAAAGATGAGTAAAGGTAGCTTCAGGCGCAGCAAAGAACGACTTTATCTTCTTGAGTACTCTCCAAACTTTCTAAGGGCTTCATATCTCGATGAACGCACAACCACACTTAAACCAAGCGTTTTATAACGCGTTAGTTAAAGTGTTTTGTAAAGAGGAATTCAATCTGCTACTTACCTACATTAGCATACAGAGTAGGAATATTTAGCTCGCTAGTTCAATTAATCATGAGTTAGATACGTCCTTAATACGAAAAATAAATATTTTGCTTGTATTATGTGTGAAATAGCGAAATAGCTGTATGATCTTGTAAAGGCGTGCAAAGCACGCTGATCTTATTTTAATTTGTAATAGTTGTTCAAGGTTAGACTTCAATGTAGACCCTCAGGATAAAATTGCGGGAAAAGTTGTACAGTTGTATACGCTGTTTAGATTGCTGTATCAACTTTATAAAGTTATTATTGCCCTTGAACGAAGGTGGACGTGTTACTTTATTTCATTTAACTGATGTTATTCGTCAAAGTCAATGAGTTTTCTCTCCGATTGTAGCGACTCTCGTGTGATTATATTATTTGAAAATGAACAAGTGTCTGACTCTTTTTGAGAAGATGTTGAAAGAAGCCAAGAAACTCACTTTATTCCGCAGGCTTCCCAATAATGAAGGTTTCATTTTGGATTACTTTTAACTATTTGTTCGTTGCTCGCCTCTTTGAAACCACACGAAAAAGGTCATGCTTGATGGTCTGTTGCACCACGTATACCTACACAGTGCTGGCAAACATCAGTAACAATGACCGGAAAGCAATCAGGAGAGTTTAAAAGACCATAAGGTGCTAATGAACGTATTTAATTTGGAAGATTTAAAAGAAACTCTCAAATTCTTTTATTTGGAGGCCTGTGACTTTCTGATAGACCTTTACTTCCGAGCCATGTTCTCGCGAAAGTGAAGTTTTAACCTTTAAACATCTCTTTATTAAACTTTAAAACGGGTGTATTCCGCAACAAGGACTTGACAGTTCCGACTCCAGTTCTTCACCCCACCCAGGCAAGGTTCAAATTCTTCGCCCCCGGGCACACACAACAGATAAGGATCACAGTAGGCCAGCCAAACAGGGTCAAGTGACAGGCTGTGTTCAAAGGGTTGATTAGAATTCAAGAAATTCGCAGAAAGTGAAGTTGTCTATGAAATCATGGACTTTTTCGTGCTTTTCTGGTCTAAATCTAATTAATTGCTCAGAAAGGCAAAAATGTTTAGAGGTTGCTAGAACTGCAAAAGTTACCCCAAACACCAAAAGTTACCGATTACAATTGAGCCAACAGATTACTCGAATCCCCGCTAACTCAAACCATTTCCCGTTTGCGGACCCTTAGGGGTGCGAATCAGCGGGGTTCTACTGTATTTCATTTGGAAACCAGGAAAGATTCGTAAAAGGGCACCCAGTTCTTCGCGGCTTTGATTCCAAAATGTGTGTAGAACGGTCTTGAACATGCAAAAAATGAGATTTCTTGGGAAAATGAAAATAGTTGAAATATGTATGACCCAATTTGAACATTTGAAAGCAATGGTGATGCTATAAAATAAAGATAAATAAGCTGTGACGCTCTGGTTCTGCAATCGACCCACGAGGATGATCTTCAGTTCGTCTTTAACTCAGTTGATTACAATTTTTTTTTACTAATTGCAATTTTCAGAATGAAGTTTCTTTTAATAATTAGTTGAAGTTTTGGTTTAGAATGATCTAAAGGTGTTCTTCAGAAATCGAAATCAGGTACAGATCACATAAAATCCATCATCACAAGGAATAAGAGGAGGCCGTGCGAAGTACAGACCAAACTTTCTTTGAAGATGACGTAAATGTTGTCTAAAAATAGCTCTACCCATTCTTCATGAGATCGAGGCTAAAGACATTTCCTAGAATGATAGCGCTCTTCTTCCCCCTTGATGGGGATCAATGCTCGGTTTCTTTACAGTAAAGGCGAAATCATCGTTCCTATATACTCGGTACAAAATGGAAGAACCCAGTAATAAGTATATTCTTCTGCGTGATAGTGTCGGACGACTCGCACTTGAAAAAAACTGGTTGACGCTCGGCCTTACGATGAAGTCTACACCAACGCAAGTTTTGCGAGGCGAGATATTAAAAGGTGTTGCTGAGGCTGAACAGCCTATGGACTCAACTAAAGTAGCTGTTGTTGGAATTGAACGTAAGTCATTATGTCTTGAGTGTCCTACGGAGGATGTGGCTCGACTATCTGAGGAAGAAACCAACTTACTTTTAGCAATTACTTCATCAGAAGGAAGGTTCCAAACGTACATAGATAGGAAACTTATGGTATTTGGCCGACAATTGTCACTAGGAAGTACTGTTTTCGTTAAAGTGAAAGCACATTCAAATGTTTTGCCTGGTATTGTTTGGTATAAAGGTGTATTACCGCCCCGTCTAGGAACTTGGTTTGGAGTTGAACTCACCGTAAGTACTCGTGTACTTATTAAGTCGCGTTGCTGGCTGTAACAATTTACATTATGTAAATTCCGTACAAACGGCAACACAACTAAGGTACCATGTTACACCGAGTTAAGCTTGCTTTTACATCTCGTGAGTATTTCAATGTCCTCAATGTCCATCTTCCTAGGAGACTCTTAGACTGAAGGGGAGATTTAAACGATTCATTCAACAGTATGTAATGGTAAAACTTGCCCTTGAAACATTCATGTGCAAGGTGTCATCTCTATTTCAAAATAATGTCATGTTTTCTGTTAAGATTTTATAATCCTGCTCTCTTGATAGTATGGTGTACATGTATGTTGCACACTGGATGCTGAACAGTCGGTATGGGATAAAATTTTTCATTTATTATGATGGCAGCCATGGTGATGTTAATGATGATGATAATGGTGAAAGTCATAATGACGGTCAATGATGACAATAATCTTCAAAAATTAATGATTATGATCTGTGGTTTAACATCTAGAAACATCCAGGGTCAGGAACATGTGATGGAACCTTTGGAAAGAAGCAATACTTTACCTGTCAACCAGACTCTGGGATTTTTGTTGGACTGGACAAATTGACACCTAGAGAAGATGAAGGTGACTTGAAATCTTTAAAAATTGCCAAAAAAGTGGGTAAGTGTGATCAGATGGTCTCAAACCATCAGTAAAGCTAGGTCATTCTGTTCAGTTCTATGGTAATATTAATGTCATGAATGAGTTGTTTGTATGGTGCTGGTAGTGGTTGACACCTGTTGAAGGGAGTCTGTCCTGAGTTAGTAAACCAGCTTTTCAGAGTCAGTGTTGTTACAGTTTAAAAGAAGAAGTGTAGTAAATTGAAACATTCAAGCTTAAGGTGTATGGTGACGTATGGTGTCCTGAAGTGCATTTTTTCCTGAATTTTCAGGTCTTTTGCAGGTAGAATGAATGGTTTGTGACAGATTGATATGTAACTTTATCACTGGGGTCAGAATGAATGCTGGGATTGACCGACCCTATACTAGGCCCCTCTGTTTTTTGCGGCATTGATCTTTGTTGTTGTGTGAGATGAAGAGCTAAAAAAAGTGGTCCAGATTCTTCTAAAGTTTTATGTTTGTATACCTTTTTCTTTCCATCTGTGTGGGGTTGTGTAAGTGATTGTAGACTTTCTGAAAGGTACAAAAGTTTTTCAAAAACCTTTTATTTCCAATTTGTGTGTTCTTATAAAATTGCATAATAAGTTGTTCCATCCCATTTCATGCAACCTTGATTTTTTTTTAGTTATAAGAGTCTCAAAAAGATTCAGAAATGTATTTAAAAAGTGTATGTTTGCAAACCCTCTTTTGCTTCATAATGGGCAAAAGGGAACATATTCATAACTGAAGATATTCTGTAAGTTACAAACAATTTATAAAAATATTTTAGTTATGTTTCACAGTAAAAGGTTTTGTTTGTGACATTTTCAGCTTCCATTGCAGCCATATCAGTGTTTTCTTAATGTGAAATCCTGCCTGATTTTCTCTTCTTTGCCCGATTATTAATGAGAAGAAATTGGTAGCTTTACTCTTTAATTTTTCTAAAATCACTGTACATGCTTAAAGTTTGTATAAAAATTTGTCAGGGCTACCAGATAATCTTGTGCTACCAGAAGCTATAAATTAAATGCAAGGCATTTTCCAGCCAAAGTCATTTTAACATTTGAAAATTGCATCTTTTGTTACTCTGAAGCTAATAACGTCACTTTGAGTCTTAAATTTCCATTATTTTTGGAATTGATTATTCCTTGGAATAATAAGTTGAGCTCCAAAAGGTCTACCTTGATCAGGATGAAACGAAAGGTGTAACAACTTATCACAGACTTCTGCACAAACCTATGAATTGGAAATAAAACGTTTTAGTTAAAATTTTATCTTTCTGGATGTCAAGGGCTCATTGGCCCATCATGGAAAGAAAAAAGTTTGCAAATATGCAACTTTAGAAGAATTTGCAACATTTTTTTGCATTCAACAGCAACAAAGATTGATGGGACTAAGATTACAGTGCAGCCTGGTTTGTCAAATGGTGACCATAATACCAATTGAAACCATCAAAACACTACTCAGGAATATTGTGACTATGTTAACATTGAAAATGATAGCAGTGAAACCTGGATTGGAAAATTCGAAAGACATGTTAAGTGTGAAGCACATGATAATATATAGCTATTTGCACAAAAATCCCATTTCAAAACCTGTACATTTATATTATTTAGATGTATAATTGTTTTTGCATGCTTTGTTCTTACACACTGATCATAACACAAAACAATATCTTGACCAACTGATATTAATTAATACAAAATCTACAAACAACATCACTTTGATTTTGAAACAAGAAATTATAATTACTGGACCTTCATGTTACCTAAATGCCTCTAAGATCTACAGTTTTTGTCTTATTTATAGTCCATTTCTGGCACAGATTCACATAAATTAAATGCACTGCATCCACAGATTCATACTCTCCTTTATGTTTCAACACATGCGACTGAATTATTGACTGATACTCATTTCACAACTTGACCCCCTCTTCATGTAGTGAAGCATTGTTACATGGAAAGCCATTTTGAAATATTGGAAAAACATGAAATACACATACTGCATCCCATCTCACTACCAGTTTCAAAATGTTCAAGCCCTGCTAACCTTTGAATTAATTCTCAAACACAGTGACTACAAAGAGAAGGAAATTTAGGTTTTGGCTACATAGATAATTTCTTTACCAAAACTATGCATTAAAAATATAGGTCACCCAGCTGGTTCAAGAGCTGCAGAACATTGTACCTTTTTACCTGGTCCATTGATTGGAAAACAATATTGTGTTATAAGGATGCAGGTGTGCTCATTTGCCTGATCATGTGATTTTAATTTGCAGTACAGAATGTGCAGTAAAATACTGAGGAATCACCTTAAGTGTTATTCCTCAGTAAATTATGGGTACATCATAGTTTAAAATTAATTTGGGGCTGGACAATTTTAACCTTCATGTACATGTACTTTAATCTTATAATTCTTAAACAAAGGAAATGCAAATCAACCTCATTTGGCAAGCTGTTTGTTTTATCCTCTTAGTGTGAAAATAAGGGATAAATAATGTTCCTTAGGTAGAAGAAACTTTTGAGCCAATAAAGAGATATCCATTTGAGATGATAATAATTTTTGATGGTGATTTCTTTGGACAGAAGAATGTAAGGAACATGTACAACCTGCCACGCATGTAACTTCTCATCAATAACTTACATCTAAAGATGAAGTGAAGCAGTTAGAGCAAGGAGCACGTAGAAATAATGGACCTGTGGCAACAGCTAAATCTGTCTCTGAAAGAAAGATCAGTGAAATTGTGGAAGCTATGATAAAAGGGAAAATGGAAAAGGAAATGTCTTCCAAAGACATTTCAGAAAAGCCATATGCACACTCACATGCATCTGCATTGCCTGGAGATGATTTGGCAGTTAACAAGGGAACTGGGTGGTTTTCAATATATTTTTGTCAATTTTTTGGAATCGGTTAAATGTATAATTCAATGCTGATTTGTTACTACAGACAGACAAAGTTCCAAAATTTTTTCCCCCTTTAACATTGCAATTTTCATTTCTTTTAAGCGGTTGTGTCACCCTTTAATTGAGTCCCAGTGGCCTGTTTGTATTGCTGATCACTTAAATGATCACTTAAAGCGGAACCACTCATACAAAAAAATACTCATACAAACCAAATCAATTTTAGTAATATTTTTTAGCAAGTTTTTGTAGAATCAGTGGTCAACCGTAGAACGAAATGGCATTTTGTACAAAACCTTTTTTCTGTTGAACTTTTATTAAGTGGTCACCCTGTATTAAGTGGTCAACCCTTATTAAGTGGTCACCCTGTATTAAGTGGTCACCCTGCTATTCCCTGTAGGTGACTGTTTAATACAGGTTCAACTGTATTATGCACTTCTGTTGGAGAATTTTAATGGAAGTGCATGTATTGTAGTGTTGCTGGTGACTGATCCCCACAAGTATGGAAGCATCAAGAGATGCCTCAAGTCATCTTCAGAATTAAGCTATTTACTACAGAATATATTTAGTTTAGCAGTTTTAAATTGTGAATTGAAGCAAAGACACAGAAGATGATTTAGTTTACAGTGCTTTTGGGTCATATGTTTCTCCCCTATTCTGCTTATTTTATTTTCCCTTTGATACTCTCAAGTCAAAGGATATAAGGGGACCTGTTTCAATACTTTTTATTTCTATTAAGTATTGATGTGTTTCTTAGCTACTTCTGAAATATGTTTGAAGAATAGAGAAAATGCACAACTGACACACAAAGCTTTTATGAATTAATTCAAGTGGGTACCTACTCTAACAAGGCTGAACAACAGAAATGAGATGTGCACATCCAAAAAAAAAAGGAAAAAACAAACACATCTGGGCTTCTCCCTTTGAGCTTGACCAGACCTTGACATTTTTCCACGCTATTATAAGGGAAAATTTTGTGAAAGCTTCTAAAGTGAGAGAGGATGTAGGAGTGCCTTTTTTATGTGAAAGTTTATCATTGTAAGGTTAAAGGTAAAGTCTGTACTCAAGCCAAGTGGCCCACCCAGCAGGAGCTTATTCTGGTTTCCTTAGTGTGAAGTGACTAGCAGCATCACTTCTCCCCCCCCCCCCCAGGATGGGATGGTACCTGCAGTATTTTATCAGGCTTCCCTGACAATATACTGGTACCCATTTACAACATGTATACTCCTGGGTGGAGAGAGACACCTTGAGAGTTAAGTGTTTTGCCCAAGATCGCAACACCTTGGGCCAGGGGCCTGTTCTTGATGTTTCTGCTAACTTAGCAGGCCTAACGTCATATTTTAAAATAAAAAGTAAGAGAATTGAGAAGTAAGCTCTGACACCAGAACCAGTCCACTTTGTTTCTTTAGCTGATAGCTTTATTGTATAATTCTCAAAGCTTTTTCCCATCTTGAATGAAAACAGAACTGCTTTATAGGCCTGTTTACTTGTAGTTACTGGGACCTTCGATCTCTCATCCCAGAGTCCAGCACACTTACTAGTTGGCCACCATGTCTTCCACCATCACAACTGTAGTAAGGCTCAAATTGTTGACGGTTTGCAAATGGTTAAGCATTATTTTGCCAGTGACCAGTATTTGTTGTAATAGTGACATTTTTCCTGCAGGTGGCAATGGCGTCATGTCAGGTGATAACCATTATGGTTTAGAGGTTGGATCTAAGGTAGAGGTTCCTATGGCGGATGGTGTTCCAAGATATGGTGTCATTCGCTGGATGGGAAATATGCCACAAGTGAAGGAAAAGGTGGTAGCAGGTCTGGAATTGGTGAGTGAGATTTATCAGTCTCAGACAGAATGAAAAAAATTACAGTAAACGATATATTTTACCTTTTTAGCACTTTATTATTAATTATTGTATCACCAACATTTATCTTTACTTTCTTTCCTTGAAGGAAGAGGAGGAGTCTGCGTGTTCAGATGGGACTTTTAATAAAGAAAGATATTTCACCTGCCCAAAAGGAAGAGGTTTCTTTGTTTTACTGGAGATTTGCCGACCAGATTCCCGCTTTGCTAACTCACCAACCACTGATGTCTGTTTAAATGCTGAAAAAGGTAAGCAAGCCAGGCTGAACAACACAAATGAGATGTGCACACCCAAAAAAAAAAAAAAATCCGGCACTTTGCTTTTAGGCTTGACTAGACCTATACATTTTTCCAAGTTATTTTAAGTGAAAATTTTCTAAAGCTTGTAAAGCGGGAGAAGTTGTAGTACGATGCAGGAGAACCCTTTTTAATGCGAAACTGTATCACAACTGTAAGGTTAAAGGTAAAGTCTGTACTCAAGCCAAGTGGCCCACCCAGGATGTGCAGTACACTTCTGAGAAATCACCTTAAGTGTTATTCCTCGTTAAGTTATGGGTATGTCGTAACACAAGATCACCAAAATCTAAAGATGAAGTGAAGCAGTTAGAGCAAGGAGCATATAGAAATAATGGATCTGTGGTAACAGCCAAATTTGTCTCAGATAGAAAGTCAAGTGAAATTGCGGAGTGGAAATGGAAAAGAATTCAACTAGTGAATAAAAGTATATATTTTCCACTTCCGGCTAGGCACAGGTTCCTCATTTTGCTCTTAAACTAACAAAAAATTGAAGACGGATTTCTCCTCTTGTAAACAGACAGGCGACTTATGGAGGAAAATGAACCAGGAGGAAACGTTCACAGGCTGGTGAGAGAACTGGAGGAACAGGTGACACATTTGCAAGCAGAACTACGAGAGAAAGAGTTGAGAGAGACCAGCTTACATGAAAAGCTGAAGAAAAAAGAACAACTTGAAGAAACAAACCTGCGGGATGTAATTCAGCAAATGACAATTGTCCAAGGGCAGCTACAAGAAAAAAATGAAGAAACTGCTAATTTACAGAATCAAGCTACTGCCCTAAGGCAACAACTGGAGGAAAAAGACCAGGTAATAAATGAATTGGAAACATCTCTGTCCACAGCTCAGGATGAGTTACGTGAACATCAACGACAACTGAGAGATGTAACTCAGCAAATGACGATTGTCCGAGGGCAGCTACAAGAAAAAAATGAAGAAACTGCAAATTTACAGAATCAAGCTACTGCCCTAAGGCAACAACTGGAGGAAAAAGACCAGGAAATGAATGAATTGGAAACAACTCTGTCTACAGCTCAGGATGAGTTACGTGAATATCAACGACAACAGTCTCCTGAGTGGGTCATTTCACGGGATCACATTCAGCTGACAAGTAAATTTCTCGGCAGAGGAGGCTGGGGAAGTGTTGTCGAAGGCAAATATTGTGGTTGTTCTGTTGCAGTGAAACAGATCCATGAGTTGATTCTCTCTCCTCACAACCGCAAATTATTTGAGCGAGAAATGGATATTGCATCAAGATGCCGCCACCCTTGCTTGCTGCAGTTCATCGGAGCTACAAATGACGAAGGGAATCCATTGTTTGTAACAGAGGTTATGGAAACAAGTTTACGCACTCTGTTGGAACAGAGAGCTCTTTCTGAGGCTGAAATGTCTTTTATTTCCCTGGATGTGGCTCGGGCGCTAAACTACCTTCACCAAAAGCAACCATCTCCTATTATTCACCGCGACATCAGCAGTGCAAATGTGCTACTTTGGCGACAGGGTGAACATTGGCGAGGCAAAGTGTCAGATTATGGAACTGCCAACTTTATGCAGCAGACCATGACAGTTGCTCCTGGTGCCATGATATACAGTGCTCCTGAAGCACTTACTAAAAATCAAACTGTCAAGGTTAGCTGTAATTTGTTTATTGTATATATGCGGGCATTTCACGTGCACGTAAGTTTATGAATTGACTTAAGCTTAAGGTAACGGACATTAATATTTATCTTGTTAATATCGCTAGTAGGTCAGGATTTTTTATTTTGTTGGCATAAAATAGACAGTATGTGTAATTGACAGGCCGGATTGGTATTCTATTGTACTCATGTATATTAGCCTAACTAGTCTGATCTTTGAGGTAAGGTTTTTATTTTTCCTAGGACATACTGACAATTCTAGTTGGGCTAATCTACTTGAATACAAAGGAATACTAATCGAGTCTGCCATGGGGTCTATATAGTCAAGTGTTATCGCTTATCTCGAGATAGAAATGGATCGAGACATTTTCACTCATTCGACGTAAGAAACTAGTTCAGTGCTGTATTTCCTCTCATTTTCGTCCCTTATCTTGTTCAGGTTGATGTGTACAGTTTTGGTGTCCTCCTCTGTGAGATGTGCATCCGGGAATTGCCAGATCCAATGAGGCGTGATCGGCAAGTCGCCATGGTTAAAAACAAATTGAATCGAGCCCTTATCCGGGGATGTTTGCAATCAGAGCCCGAGGCGAGACCAAGCATACAGGAGATCATTGACGAACTTGAGGAACCTGTTTAAAACAGGTTTGGTCGGTTTTGCTTTTAACAGAATTAACGTAATTCTGCTATTACCAATGTAATTGTAATGGTGCGTATGCTACTGAAGGACATCTCTGGGGTATCCCCCCCCCCCCCTCCCAACCTGGAAATCATAAGACATGATTAGATTGATTAATTTCAGAAATCAATTTCATTATTCAGAATGAGAGAAAGGCATGAAATTTCAGAGGAATGGAAAATGGTCGGAGTATCGTCAACTAAAAGCATTTACTACGTGGGAGGTTGTCCTGTAAGTGTTTTGCATAAAGAGTTTATGAACAAATAAGTTTTATGATTTCTTTTTTAGCTCAGTTCTGCAAAATGCCCTCCCACCTTGATTTAAATCTTAAGCGAAGACCCTCGTATGTTTGGCAAGGTTTGAAATTAGGGGATGTTATTTTATTTTCCCAAGTACTAGCTGAACCATTTTTTGGCACGTGCTTGAATCTGAATGGCGTGCGATCGGTTTGATTTCTATCATGCACTTTTAAGGTCATTCGTAATATTGCATTGGACATCCTTACTGAGCATGATTTTACACCCGACCGCTGCGCGCAGATTAAAAAATGGTGGCTCTTTTCTTTGTGCTCGGTACTCACCAGAGAGGTAAATTGTCACTTTCTCCAAACGAGGAGGTTGATCTATCATTTTTTCTCTACCTTGGTGTTGGGCACGTATTATCTTTCCGTAAAATAAATATAAACGAATTCTCTTCGAAGGAAAAGGAATTCAATTTTGGAAACGCGAACGTAGTAGGATCCGGTAATTATAATTTTCTATGTATTTTGGCAATCATATAGGACCTGTATTTTTTTATTTCAAAATTTACATTCCTTCAAGGTAAACAACCAATGGTTAAAGTTTGACAAAAATCTCAGTGCAGGTTCTTTTTCAGAGGTCTGATCTTAGGATCACACTCCAGGTGCTTCGAAAATAGAAAATTCACACAGAAATAAGCTTTAATGCGTTTCATTCCGATAACATATTGGTCACATGGTACTTTTTTTAGCAAAAGAAGTCCACAGAAAAAAATAAATAGAAATGTTAACGAGGGAGTTTATGGTAATGTTCTCTTTATTGTGTAGCAAACCGTGCAAAGTATCGATAAATTTCTCCTGTGAGAACTATGTTTACTCCTCGTTCTAAAATTACAACCTACGTGATCACCACATCCTGTCACTTTCTCAGCCGGGAAAAAAAGTATATGGTCTACATTCATTTAATTACCTAGCTGTTAAACTATGAAATTCCCTATTTGATGGCCTGAGAGCTTGCGAGGATTTTTATGAATTTGAGAGGAAAATTCTTAGTTTTGTCAATTTTAACATTTAAAATCACAAGCATGTATTTTTATATCTGTTGTAAATTGCATCGTATTTTATAGTATTTTACATTTTACTAATGTATTATTTGGAAGGCATGTAAATTTTATAATGTTATTAGAATTTGTATTCTCATTGTATTTTGCTATATTAAACAGGAAGACATAAGCTTAGTAGCTACACTCAAATTCGCGTAACAATTTCAGGTCGATTGAAGTGTTTCATTCAGAAATGGGTGTTACCGCGGGATTCTGTGCATAGAAGGCTCGATTTATTCCTTTGGGTATTCACTTCAGTTGGGATTCAGTCGTTCTGGGAAAAGTGAGATCTTTTGGAGGAAGACTCAAAGGAATGAAATAATAGCGCAATAAAGCGACCTCGAGCGGCAGCGTTTACAAGTGTATCCTTTTTGTTTTCACGTGTCAATGAACTCCAAATAATCTTTGAAAACATTTTATGCCTTCAGGTTTTTTCGCTCAATGTTTTTCAAGTTTGACTTTTATTTATTAAAACAGAGCATTTTAAGAGCTTTAAAAGGAGATCTTGAACGAGCATAGTTGATCATTGTAGGCCGAAGTTGGTATTTTACTTCTTGTTATTGGCGTTTTAATTTGTGCACAGCCGTCTTTTACCGGTGTCACAGCGGATTTGGACCCCCCCGGTCCAAATCCACTAGCGGATATGGACCCCCCTTCGTAGATTTGGACCACCCTACCAAACTTTCCTTTTAAGCATCCTTTGTATCATATTTGGTAACTAATTCTATTTGCAAGCTTTTTTGTCGATGTTCTTTTCAATCACAACACAACATTTCCTCAATAAAAGTAAACAAAAAAAACCTAGCGATTTCGTTCCAATTCTACCGCATTCGTTATAGCGAGTCATACAGTAAACGCAAGAATTAGATGTGAACAAACTACTCCATTCGAACTATTGAAATTGTTAAAATAAATCTTTGCTTCTTCTGATGCGAATCAACATTGGTACGAAACGTCATAACAATAGTGGAGACTATTGCGTCCAGTCACAAAAATAACTCAGTCTGATTTTCCAAAATAATAACAAACAGTTTGTGAAGAAGAACGAAGAAACTACTCATATTACAAGTCGTTCATAAAGCCTGTGATAAGTAAAAATGTTTCTATTCTGAACTATTGGAACTCTAAGCTTATTTTTAGATGCAAATCAACAACACATGTCAACGTCCTAACAAATGTGGAGACTATTACATCGAACTCAATCTTATTTTCTAATTTTAACGATCATTAACTGTTGAGGGATGCGAAATAACACCTTAACAATTACGAAGACGTCTAGAGTCTGGCAATCTGCAGACAATGCAGAGCCACTCGCCCTCCGGGGCAGTCTTAAATCCCTCGCAGCTCATGTGTAACCTTTCCTCGCACAACTCGCACTGTACCATGTCGTCCCAACACTCTGGCATTGAACAATGACAAAATAAATAAGTGTCACAAGTTTGTCTCTTATTGAATCTAGCGGTGTTCGACTATCGCGGAAAACGTTCAAAAACGACCTCACTCCAGACATTAAACTAAATTCTTGCCCATTTTCCCTTGGTCAAAAGAAACATCCGACGGGATGCCAGTTCGTATACATTAACGATACGCATGTTTTGAGTTAAAAACATACTTAATTACGCACTGGAAGGTAAAATATCATCCATTTTTACTAAAACGTTAAGGATGATGTTTTCACTCAGTTTTGTTGGGGGGTCCAAATCCGCTGGGACACCGGCGCGTGAGAAGCATGAATTCTGAAGAATGACTGCAGACATTTTATGCATTCAAGTTTTTTTCGCCAAATGTTTTCAATTTTGATTTGCGAAAAATAAAAAAGGGAATTTTGCGAGCTCTACAGAGAGACCTTTGAACGAGGTGCGTGTGAAGCGTGTTTGCAAGTCGTGCATTCTCGAACATTCCGATAATCGCCTGCTAGATCACAGTCGAAATTTACAAAAGTCTTATCTAAGCAAATATATAGCTTCAAGTCTGACAGCTCTTAATACATTTTTGCGAATCTGAAATTCATCAGAAGCCCTTGAAAGCAATTGCTGTAGGAAGTGTTTGTGGGACGGGTGCGCTCGCGCGCCGTTTTTGTCGGCTGTGACTAAAAGTGGGACGGGGACGTGGGACTCGGGGACACGCGGGGACTCGGGGACGTGATAAACAAACAACGCCTAACATTTGCGCTGAATTTGTAGAGTATAATTATCGGTGGTCTCGTAAAAGCTATTTTATGCTGAAGAGCTTGTTAGTAGTAGCCGATGGTTTTCAGCGTCCATGGTTCGGCCGGACATTTTTGCTTGCTTATTTGACCGTGAGATCTCTGGGTACAGAATAGTTTCAACGCAGGGGGTCTTGAAACATCCTTGCCTTATCCTTGCTAAAAAAGAATAAGGAAGAAAACACAGTTACTTACCAGGAAAGTCCTCCATGGCTGCTTACGATGTTTAAAACCCCCTGCGTTGAAACTATTCTGTACTCAGAGTTCTCACGGTCAAACAGGCAAGAAAACATATCCGGCCGAACCATGGACGCTGGAAATCATCGGCTACTACTGACAAGCTCGGGTGACGCTATATCGGAGGCGTTCGTCGAGGGTCGAACACACAAGTTTATAGTACAGCGATTAAATTTAAAATAGGTTATGTAAGCTTCAGCACTTGTTCCCACGAAAAGTTCAAGAGATGTACAAGATCGTCCTGAACAGGAGCCTCAGTTTCTTGATTTTCTTTTGAGTATTTTGTGGTTGTCATAAAATAACTACTGTGATATATTTCTTTTGAACAATTTTCACGGGATTTTTACCCGTGAGCGGACACATAAAATAGCATGACACCGTTACTATTTTCTTCCAGTATCAATCATTAAAAGAAGAAATATCACTTAATGCGTGATCGTGTAGTTTATACCGTTTCCCGAAATCCTAGATTCATGAAAACAAGCCATCAAACCACACTGCTCTGTTTTTGTTTAGTCACACGTGGCTCACAGATAAAGATATACCAAAAATTTTTCAGTATGTTTGAGCTATTTACTAGGTTATCAATGCGCCAATAAGCCTAACAGTAACGTTTGAATTTTAGACGGTAACTTCGTCTCTTAAAAAGTAAATTATGGGAAAGATTCTCCTTGCAGCGTTGAGTCCGTTGAGAGAAGTTCAATGTTTTTTTACTTACGTAATACGAAAAATTTGTCAACACTGAAACGTCAAATGATTCGTGAAATAACGAAGGGGAATTTCAGGAATTGTATACACCCTACGTTTATGGGGGATTCTGAAGTAAATGGATGTAAATGACCTACCCGATTTTGTTTCCTCAATATGCGAAAAGTTCGATGGATTCCTCCACTAAAATACCTAAAAAAATTAAAACAGTTTCGCGGGTTATGCAAAAATCGAATGCTACTGGTACGTTTTATTATATTTCAAACTCTGTTTTCAAAAGGAATTCTCATCTTTGTTGATGTGTGGAGGCAATGCCGAGTTTCATTGCTTAGATGGTAAACGGTAAACGGTTTGCCGAAAAATTGGATCGGTACATTACCACCATTGTGTTCAAAGACGGGAGACGCTGCAAATGCATAATTTGAAAAAGTATTTCGGTATACTAGATTACGCACTTAGAGTGTTTTCCAAGTGCTTTCCTTTATATGAAATACCTTTAAATATTTCAACACTTTTCCGCCCGGTGCATTGCGTAAGTTTTTACAAAATTGCCTTCAAAAGATCGAGTCTCTACGAGGCCCACACTGAATTGATAAAAGCAAAAATTCAGTTAAAAATAAAAGAAACTGCCCACCATTTTTCGAAAACCTCTTGTGATTTAAGTCCTTTGAGTGCAAGGCCTTCTTTACAAAGCATGTGGAACTACTAAGAAGAAAACTCTCGAGCATATCCTCGAACTTATCTCTTTCCATCGAAATAACCCACGAAGTACTGGTTTTCAACAGAACAATTTTCAAGGTTTTCCTCAAGGAAGTCAATCTCCGATTTGTTTAAAGAAGATTGATTGGTCGCCGCCATCATTACGCATTCTAGTGTCTTATTCAAAAATTGCCTTCAGTTTTTAGATGTCATCCTTTCACGGGCTTTCGCAATATTCGCAGGTTTCATTATTTCCCCGCCGACCAAAATTACCGTGTACTCTTACCTTCGACGAACGCCTTCGATGTAGAGTCACCCGAAAAGCTCTCCAGCATATTACACCTTCCTCGAGACCACCGAAATTATACTTTACAAATTCAGGTGTTGTTTGTTTATCACGTCCCCGAGTCCCCGCGCTTCCCTGAGTTCCTGCGTCCTACGTCCCACGTCCCACGTCTCCGAGTCCCCGAGTCCCGAGTCCCGCGTCCCACGTCCCCGAGTCCCAGTCCTACTTTCCCGTTCTACTTTTAGTCACAGCCGTTTTTGTCAATTAACTCCAAACTTCTGTTGTTTACATTTAAGCTATTGTTTTTGTCTGATGTATTTCATTGCTGTAAACGCTAACGAACTGCTCCAAAGGCTGAAAGGCAGACGACAAAATTCAATTCTTGCCATTTGCCGTTCGCATACGCGAGGCGGTTTACCTAACTTGTGTTTTATTATAGAGGCATGGTGTCTTTCAAATTCGGCGTTCGTTGCTGTTTGGTTAAGAAATTAAAAGCAAAATTTTGCGGAATTGAAGCTATTGTTTGTTTTTGGACGATAAACACAAGAAATTGCCACACATGTCATCAGAGGGCGTTCCGATTTCTATAGCGGTCTTACATCTCCGAGTGAAATCCGACGAGAACCTAAACAATAGCATGAATATATGAATACTTAACGAACTACGAAGCGTGGGTACACACTTAAATCGACGTGAAGTTGTAATGCGTGTTTAGATAAAGTTAATGTATGTATGTACGTATCGTGTGACTGGTTCTTGCGTCAGTGTGTCTTCATCGAGTTATGAAGCGAGCAGGTAGTTTGGAGAGCACAAAAAATGAGTAACGGTTGCTTGAGGCACAGTCAAGAACGACTTTATCTTCTTGAGTGCTCTCCAAACTTACTAAGGGCTTTATAATTCGATGAACGCACAACCATACATAAACCAAGCGTTTAATAAATTCACGCTGTTATTATTTCAAGGTACAATAATCTTTTAGGGTTAGACTTAAATATAGACAATCGGGATAAAATAGCGAGTAAAGTTCTGCTGTTGCATACGCTGTTTAGATCGCTGTAACAACTTTGTGAAGGCGTTATTCCCCATGAGCGAAGGGAGACGTTACACTTTATTTCATTTAACTTGTGTGATTAGTCAATGTCATTGAGTTTTCTCTCCAAGTTTAAGTGCAATTCAAATAAATGCATTTAATTTCAAAGATTAAAAAAGAATTCTCAAATTCCACGGTTGAGAGGCCCGTAACTTTGTCATAGACCTAACTTCTGAGCCATCTTCTCTTATGGCGAAAGTGAACTCTTTACCTTTGAACACGTCCATATTAAAAGATAAAACATCTGTATCCCGCTTCAAAGACTTGTCAGTTCCAGTAAAAATTCCCCACCCCACCCTGGCAAGGTTCAAACTCTTAACCCCCGGGCACGGACGAAATACAAGGATCGTAATTGTCCGGCGAAACGTGGTCAAGTGACAGGCTGTGTTAAAAGGGTGTTTAACATTCAAGAAATTCGCAGAAAGCGAAGTTTTCTATCAAATCGTTGACTTTCTCGTACTTTATACATGCTCTAAATATATAATTGATCGGAAAGGCAAACATTTCAACGTTAGGTTGCCGAAACTGCAAACGGTTGCCCCAAACGCCAAAAGTTGCTCCGAAATTGCTGAGCACAATCGGAACAGGCCATATGACTCGAACCATTTTCCATTTTTCTCGGGATTTCGAGTTAGCGTATTGTGCTGTATAAGGGCCTGTTTACATGGAGGTGGGGGACCTCAGGTAGGTGAGGTAACCCGCCTAGGTGGGGTAACCCGCCTGTCCATATAATTTCGCAATTTTTGATCACGTTTAGATGGGGTGACCCGCCTAGGCGGGTTACCCGGTCTGCCAGGTAGGGTAACCTTGTCAGCCGGGGTGACAATTTGCCATGTAAACGTGTCAAGGTTGGGTAACCCGCCTAGCCGGGGTCGCATTCATGGCAAAAAGCTCAAAAGCGACACGTATCTTTTAAATTTTTGTACATTTCCTTGCCGTCTCATGGCAGAAATCACCAGAAACCGCAACGGACACACAATGAGTGTAAAATGTTCAAATTTCAGAATATTTATCATTGTAAATCGACCATATTTGGTTTCCCAAACTTTTCCGTGTAACGTATTAAGTCAACGGTTCCTTGCGAAGTCAAACACTGCGTAACACAACGCGTGACGCTTTCATGAATAAATACATATGTGTCCGAGAATTAAGCTTTCGTCTTTTTCGAGATGTGAACTTGGGACGCCTCTGCTCAAACTCCTTAATTTCAAGCGCAACAACAACCTCAAGAAACCTCACCCCAGCACCCCGGGGTTGTAAGATTGCATGTGAATGCGTTTTATTTTTCGACCACGGCTAAGCGGGTTACCTCACCTACCTGGGGTCCCCCACCTCCATGTAAACAGGCCCTTACAGTGGGAAACCAGGAAAGACTAGTTGAAGGCACCCAGCTCTCCGCGGCTTGAAACCCAAAATGTGTGTAAAACAAGCTTGAACATACGACAAATGAAAATTCTTTGGAAAGTGAAAATAGTATGAAATATTTGTGACCCGATTTGAAAATTTGAAAGCAATGGTGATGCTGCAGAAGAAAGATAAATCTCTGCTGTGACGCGCTGGTTCTGCGATCCGCCCACGAGTGGGGTGGTCCTTGGCTTTGACTCGGTCGAACACAATCTTTTATTAATTGCAATTTTCAAAATGAACTTTCTTTTAACGATTAGTTGACGTAATGGTGTAGAATTATCTAAAGGTATTGATTAGAAATCGAAATCAGGTACGGATCACATAAAACCATTATCACAAGGAATTAGAAAAGGCACGTGCGAATTGTAGACCCAACTTTCTCTTTAGAAGATGACGTAATGTTAAGAATGTAATAGCTCATACCTAATCTTCATAAGAACGATGCAAGGAAATTCCTAGAAAGATGGCGTTGTTCCTCCCTTTCCATTGCGATCAATGCATGATTTGTTTACAGAGAAGGTGAAGTTATCGTTCCTTTATACTCGGCACGAAATGGAAGAGCTCAGAATTAAGTATATTCTTCTACGTGATCATGTCGGACACGCAGTTGAAAAAGACATGTTGTCCCTCGGCCTTACGACAAGGTCTTCACCAATGCAAGTTTTGCGAGGCGAATTATTAGAAGGTGTTCCTGAGGCTGAACAGCCTACAGACTTAACTAAAGTTGCTGTTGTTGGAATTTAACGTAAATCATTACGTCTTGAATGTTCTGCGGAGTATGTGGCTCGACTATCTTAGGGAGAAACCAACTTGCTTTTAGCAATTACTTCAGCTGAAGGAAGATACCAAACTTATATGGAAAGGAAACGTTTAGCATTTGGCCGACAATTGTCACACGGAAGGGCTGTTTTCGTCGAAGTGAAAGGAGCCTCACGGATTTTACCTGGTATTGTTTGGTACAAAGGTGTATAACCACCCTGTCTGGGAACTTGGTTTGGAGTTGAACTCTTCGTAAGTACTCGTGCATTAGTTAAGTCGTGTTGTTGGATGTAACAATTTACATCATGTAAATTTCGTTCAGACAGCAACACAACTGAATTACCATGCATGTTACACTGAGTTAAGCTTGCTTTTACATCTCGTGAGTCTTTTTTCAATCTCTTCAATGCCCATCTTCGTAGGAGACTCTTAAGACTGAAGGGATATTTAAATGATTCATTCAATAGTATGTAATGGTAAAACTTACTCTTCAGACAGTCATGTGCAAGTTGTCATCTCTAATTAAGAATAATGTCATGTTTACCGATAAGATTTTATAATCCTGCTCTCTTGTTAGTATGGTGTACATGTATGTTGTACACTGGATGCTGAACAGTTAGTATGGGATAAAATTTTTTCATTGATTATGATGGGAACCATTGAAATCTTCAAAAATTACAAAAAAAGATGAGCATATTCAGGCCAAACTTAAATCAAGTCTTAAGGATTCAATACTGTCATTTTGGAAGGGAAAACAAGTGCAAAGGTCATTTCAAGGAATTGATGGAGTGCTTATGACTGATGAGAGAGTTGTGACATTTATTATGGATTTTCCAGCCAGAGGAACTGTGCGACATATTGGAGAGGAGGTTGATTCAATTGGAAATGTTTACATAATTGTAGGACTAGAACTGGTAGGTAATCATAATTTTTAACTTAATTGTACATGTATTTTTGGATGTAGAGTACCACTCCAAAGTAAGTTGACAGTCTTGACTCAAAACTATTGAGAATGCAGGATCAAGAATCGAGGCTTGAGTATCAAAAATAAGGAGTGAGACGCTTGAGCAACCTCTTGAGGATCTTGATCTGCAATTTTGAGGAAACTGTGTAATTAATTCTTGAACACAAAACAATACTGAAGGACAAAGTGCTTGACACGTGGCTTCATGATACAGAAGCAGCTTGCTTGTATGCAAATATTTTCATTTTGAACAGGGCAGGAGGTTGAATCAAGCTACTCTCTAGCTTTTCTTAACAGAATGGGATCACATGAATGTTCATAAAAATTAATTTAAAAAAATTGAACTTTGGGTGCCAGGAGTGACATCAGTTTTCCTTGGTTTTGGAATCATCCACAAATCTACAACAGACTGGTAAAAATTTAAACAAACAATCCCACGGAAACTGTGATTTGTTGCATATGGTAATATTGTGTTACTTCTTGTAAGTGATAGTTTGAGATAAAAGGGGATAATCTACGGCTGAAATTAAAATTAAGTATTAATATCAAAAATAGTTTTAAATCAAAGATGTGTAGATAAATTGCAATCAATTTATAGAATGAAATAAACCACTTAGTTAGCCATTGTATTTCAACTTCCTTTCCTCTATCAGGATGAAAGAGTGGGATCTGGTTGTGGTAAAAGATCCGGCTCTCAAAAGTTTGTTTGCAAGAGAGATTATGCAGCATTTGTACCATTGAAAACTGTCATACCAGAGAAGGACTTTGATGGTAATCCTGGAAAAGCTGCAAGACAAGAAGCTCAGGGAAACCGGGAGCAAATTCGTGAAGATAAAATGTATGCAAGATCAATGAGCTGTGTTAATATACCATCAGGTAGACAAATGATTTGATATCTCAGTTGTTTTATAAATTTTTTATTCACCTAGTCAAGTACACCATGCATAATGAGGCAGAGAACCATAATCTGTGAACTGATATCTCTTAACAGTTAATGGCTTGAACCTGGGGGTAACATGTAATAATGTAGTTTGATCATCGAAGTGAGTGTAGTCGTGAGAACGACTGTTGTCGGTAGTGGTGACTGACATTTCGACAATCTGAGCGGAAGTCATCATCACAGTCAAATGATTAGTTGTTGTGAGTTGAATGTTCTAAGTCCGGTCCCTATAAACTGATTGGTCAGTTTTGCTGTAAAGCTGGGTCTTTCTGTTCGGTTTGATCGTAATTTTAACGTCTTGATTGAGTCATTTGTATGGTGCTGGTAGTGGTTGACACCTGTTGAGGGGAGTCTATTCTTAAAGTTAGTAAACCAGCTTTCCAGAGTTAGTCGTTGAAAGCAGTTGGTGCTGTAAGTTAGGCATTGCGCTGAGTCCCAGTTAGAAGTGTGATTTGTAAGTTGGTGATGTTCAGCAATGTGATTGTCACATTACCTTTCCTGGTCGGTGCCCCATGTGTCATGCATAGGGCACTTAGTGTTATTTAAAAACTAGGTAGGCTTTATGAATTTTTTTCGTTTGCAAGAATGCTGATTTGGTTTTTGGTTGCACGCTTCATTTTGTAGGCGTTCAAATGCACCTCTTCCTTATCAGCTTGCTCTACTGTAGGATTATCATTTATCATCACAGAAAACAAAAAAAATACATCATCTTAAAGGTGCGTTTTTGGTGAACTAAACAAGAAACATCAAAATTCAAAATTCAAGAGTACCTATGTCAAGTTATAGCAAACCTTCTTCAAGCACTATCGATGACTGTATCATTTTCTCATTTCAAGACATGTTCTGATCATGGCCCCACGAGAGTTCAACTTGTGAACAAGAATAGATTTTTCACTTCCGGCCAGGCACAGTGTCTAAAATTTACAGTAAATTGTAGATTTCTCATCTTATGAACAGACCGGCGACTGACGGAGAAAGAGGAGCAAGAGGGAAATGATCACAGGCTGGTGAGAGATCTGAAGGAGCAGGTGACACATTTGCAAGCAGAAGTACGAGAGAAAGAGTTGAGAGATACCAGCGTATATGAACAGCTGAGGAAAAAAAAAACTACTTGAAGAAACTTTAAGGAAACAATTAGCTGAGACGGAGCAACAGCTGACAAACCTGCGTGGAAAAATACAAGAGAGAAATGAACAACTGAGAGGTGTAACCCAGCAAATGATGACTTTCCAGGGGAAGCTATAAGAGAAAAAATAAGAGACTGCTAATTTACAGAATCAAGCTACTGTCTTGAGGCAACAACTAAAGGAAAAAGACCAGGAAATGAATGAATTGGAAGCAACTCTGTCCACAGCTCAGGATGAGTTGTGTGAATATCAACGACAACAGTCCCCTGAGTGGGTTATTTCACGGGATCACATTAATTTTGTTAATACCGTTAGAAGGTCAGGGCTTTGTATTGTGTTGACATAAAATAGACTGTAGGCATAAATAGCAGGCCGGATTGGTATTCTACTGTACTCATGTATATTAGCCCAACTAGTGTCATCTTTGAGTTAGGTTTTTTTGATCCTGAGACATACTGACAATGGTAGTTGGGCTATTCTACTTGAATACAAAGGAATACTAATCGAGTTTGCCATGGGGTTTATATAATCAAGTATTGTCGCTTATCTCGAGGTAGATATGGATTGAGACATTTTGACTTATCCGACATAAGAAACTTTAGTGCAGTGTTGTGTTTTCCTCTCATTTTTTTCCTTTATCTTTTTCAGGTTGATGTGTACAGTTTTGGTGTCCTCCTCTGTGAGATGTGCATCCGGGAATTGCCAGATCCAATGAAGCGTGATCGGCAAGTCGTCATGGTTAAAAACAAATTGAATCGAGCCCTTATCCGGAAATGTTTGCAATTAGAGCCTGAAGCGAGACCAAGCATACAGGAGATCATTGATGAACTTGAGGAACCTGTTTAAAACAGGTTTGGTTGATTTTGCTTTTAGTAGAATTAACGTAATTCTGCAATTACCAATGTAATTGTAATGGCACATATGTTATGGAGTGACGCCTCTTGTGTATTTCCCCCCTGAAAAAAATGAGACATGATTAGATTGATTAATTTCCGAGGGAATGGAAAGTGATAAGTGTATCGTCAACTAAAAACGTTTACAACGCGGGAGGTTGTCATTTTAGAGTTATGCAAATAGAGTTTATGAACAAATAAGTTTTATGATTTCTTTTGTAGCTCAGTTCTCAAAAACGCCCTCACCTAGATTTACATTTTAAACGAAGACCCTTGTCGTATTTTTGGTAAGGTTTGAAATGAGGGAGAATATCATTTTATATTCTCTTGTTCCAGCTGAACCATTTTCGGCACGTGTTTAAATCCGCTCCTTTATTCTCCAAACTAGGAATTTTAGATATTTTCCAAGTCAATACGTTTGAAATCGCCAAATTCATGTTTTATTATAGAAATAACTTATTGCCTCCATTGCTTCTCAATCTTTTTGTAACGAATAGCCAAATTCACAACTATGGTACCAGAACAGCCAGTAATTATCGAACGCATTTGTGCCGTACAAATCTTAAGCACTTTACAATTCTTTGCCAAGGTCCTAAAATTTGGAACTCTCTTCCTGTTTCAGTCACTCGTTCGTCAAACCTTCTTAGTTTTAAGACGAAAATGCAAGAGTTTTTACTTAAATAATCCTTGAATTGGCCTAGCCGCACATTCGCAGCACTTTTTCTTTACTTTATTTATTAATTTAAGTGAGGTGGCTCTCCCATAAGCCCGGTGGCTTCCTGGGTCTCCTCGCCTTCTAGCTATAACCGCTGTAAATAAATTTTTTTTGTATTATGTAAATAAGGCAAATAAAAAATATGATGATGATGAATGGCGTGTGATTGGTTTGATGCCCATTATTTATGTTACGGATACCTTGCACTTTTAAGGTCATTCCTAACATTACATTGAACATCCTTACTGCGCATGATTTTACACCCGACCACTACGCGAAATTAAAATTTTCGAGTGGCCTTTTCTTTCTGCTCTTTGCTCACCAGAGAGTTCAATTGTCACTTCCTTCAAACGAGGAGCTTGATCTATCATTTTCTCTCTCCCTTGGTGTTGGGCTCTTATTATCTATCCGTAAAATAAATACAACGAATTCTCTGTGTAGGAAAAGGAATTCAATTTTTGGAAACGTGAATGTAGTGGGAACTAGTAACTATAATTTTCAAGATATTTTAGTAAGTATTTGATACGCATACTTGATAATGCTGCCCCTAAACGAAAACTGAGACCTCCCTTTTTTACTTCAAAATTTACATTCCTACAAGGTAAACAATCAATGGGTAAAGTTTGACAAAAATCTCAGTGCAGGTGCCATTTTAGAGGGCTGACCTTAAGATCATACTCCAGGTGCTTCGAAAATAGAAAATTCGTATTAAAATAGGCTTTAATTCGTTTTATTCGGATAACGCATTAGTCACGTGGTGCTTTTTTGAGCAAAACGTGCTTTTCAGAAGTCCATAGAAGTAGAAAATGATATAGAGAAAGTTTATTGGAAAAATGTTCTCCTGATTGTATAGTGAATCGTGCAAAGTATCGATTAGGTTCTTATATGAGAACCATGTTTACTCCTCGTTCTGCATATTACAACCTACGTGGTCGCCACATCTTGTTACTTTCTAAGCCGAGAACAACAGTGTATGGTCTACATTCTTTTAATTACTTGGCTACTAAACTATTGAATTCCCTGTCTGATGGCCTGAGAGCTTGCGAGGATTTATATGAATTTAAGAGGAAAATTCTTAGTTTTGTCAATTTTAACATTTGAATATCACAAGCATGTATTTTTATATATATCGTTAATTACATCCTATTTTATAGTATCTTACATTTTATTAATGTATTATTTGATAGGCATGTAAATCTTCTATTTCTACTACAATTTGTATTTTCATTGTATTTTATTATATTAAACACGAAGACATTAGCTTTGTAGCTACATTGACATTCGTGTTTAAATACCACAGAGCATACAGAAGATGAGGGACTGGGCATGTGTACGTTCTTTCGTGCGGTGAAAAAGAACTGCGCTGGTTCCATCACGAGCACATGGTTTATGAGTGACATCGCCCCACAATACTACAACGCGTTGGTGGGTTTTATGAATGATGTCCCACGGCCCCAGAAGCTGTTATGCACGTGGCACGTGGATAAGGCCATTAACTTGGAGCTCAGAAAGAAAATTGGCGACTTACCTACCGAAGCAGAGATCTGAAAAATGTTCCGTACAGTCCTAGAGCAGACGAACCAATCATTTTTCGATGAGTGTCTGCGAGCTCTTCTCCACCGGTTGGGTCTCTCCTCTAACGCTGTCGCGTTCCATAAGTATTTTGCGCGTGATTGGGTCCATCGGAAGCATCAGTGGGCATATTGTTTCAGAACTTGTCTCGGAATCAACACGAACATGTTTGTGGAAGGCTTCCACAGAGTTTTTAAATACAGATATCCTAAAAGGGAATGTCAACAAACGCTTAGATGACTGCATATTTAATTTATTAAAATATGTTCGCGACAAGACCTTCGATTGACTAATCAAAGAAACCAGGGGGAAATCTACAGATCGAGTAAATGATACATGATCGTCACCTACGGAGCCTGTCCTTACCTGTTGAGTCTGTTAACTGCGAGGAAGATGATACACGGACAGTTCTTGAAGAGGACAGGAGAAGTTCACATTAAGTCTGCCGAATAGCAAGTGCTTGTGAGGAAAGAAATTGTGGGTTGAGACTCCAGGAGTGTTGCGTCTGTGTTCATCTTTATGTCTGCAACTGCCTCGACTGCTTGATTACAAGCACTATTTGGAAACACATACATCTCGTGAACAGATGTTTGAATGGTAGCTCAGTTTCTAAAGACTACCCTAGTCAGTTCCCACGCCCAGAAAATAGTTCCATGGATCCTGACTACCAGGAGGCATCTAGTGATACTGCATACTACGACAGTACCAACGAGATGAACTTTCTACGAGACTGTCTTAATTAAAGAACTGTGAGCGAGAATAGGGAGAGTGCCATGAAGAGGACGAAACGATCCCTTAGAGCGAAATTGCTCAGAATGATCGATGACGTTGAAGTCTGCGAAGATGATGATGTGCTGCAACAGTTGGCGAAAAGTGTCAACTCCTCTTATAGTTTGCTCACTTCGATCAAGCAGCACAAGCATATGACTAGTACATTTTCAGCTGCTATACCTGAAAGGAATGCACCTGCCAACAAAAAGATTGAGGTCCAGAAACGTTTTTTTTTCCCACTAACGAAAGACACAGAGGAGAAATATCAGATTGGCAAAACCAACTAAGGAAGAGAAGATGGAGATGATTGAGAATTGGAAGAATAATGAGCAATCAGAGCAGAACAACATCAAAGTACCTGTAGACTTCACATTGCAAAACGATAGCGCACAAAATATGTTAGTCTTCATTGTTTGAAAATTTTCTACTTGCATATAACACCTGTCTCACCTCACCACCCGATAATTTCTCTTGTAGGATTGCAAGAAATGCTCACTGGTTTACTGAGGAAAAACATCAGTCCATTAAAGATCTGGTCAAATCTGCCATTAAACTGTCTGTTTCTGACGTATTGGATATAGACAGGGCATCTTTGATAACCGAAGAGGCAATAGAAGCTAACTTAGCAGACTTGAAGAGGTTTTTATACAGATGATGCCTGGAAAGCAGTTGGCAAATTAGGTTAGGATGGCTCGTGTACTTTAGAGAAAACACGGTTTATGTTTAAGTGGTATAAATACCTTGTCTAAAACAGTTGTGTGATACAATAATAAACGAGATATATACCTTCCAAAACAGCGTCATGTGATGAACAGCCTTCTTTAGATTTGAACAAGTTTCCTAAAATAATTTTACTCCTTCTTTTTATAGCCGAAAAACTGTACGAAGACTGGTTTTGCTATCATTGCAAACAATCAAGGTAGTTCGACATGATTCAGTGCGAGAGTTTCTGCCACTGGTTTGACTGGTAAGGTGTCTTTTTTGTTTGTTTGTTTGTTTTGTGTTTTCTCTTTTTCGGGTCTAACAGAGTTGTTGAAAATTACCAAGCAAAATTAACGTAATCCGCGACTTTCTTCTTTTAGGTGTTGTGCAAAAATAGATGAGGAGCCCGGTGAATGGACTTTCCCCACATGTGAACAACTATCCCAGAAAATCAGTGTTCCACGTAAAAAGCTCCCTCGATTGAGGCCAAGCCACATTTCTCCTGCAGAGCATACTGCAAATTAAAAATGTCGGTCGCAGCGTCACGCAACATTGCGTGATTTTCCAAACGTGACAAGCAGTTGCTGTATTATTTTAAAACTTACAAACTTCATGGTCCTGTATAAATAAATTCAACATAAGAAGAACGTGATAAAACGGTCTTTCAGTTTTTATATCGGTGTATAGTTATAGATTATTTAGCTATTCCCTGTGAGTGACTGTTTAATACTGGTTCAACCGTAATATGCACTTCTGTTGTAGAGTTTTTAATGGAAGTGCATGTACTGTAGTGTTGCTGGTGATTGATCCCCACTAATAAGGAAGTGTTAAGAGATGTCTCAAGTCGTATTCAGAATTAACCTATTTACAACAGAGTATATTTAGTTTAGCAGTTTCAAATTGTGAATTGATGCAAAGACAGAGAAGATGATTTAGTTTACAGTGCATTTAGGCTCATATGTTTCTCCCCTATTCTGCTCATTTTATTTTCCCTTTGATCTTCTCAAGTCAAAGGATGCAAGGGGACCTGGCACAATACTTTGTATTTTAATTAAGTATTGAATTTCTCAGCTACTGCTGAAATAAATTGGAAGAATAGAGAAAATGCATAACACAGAGCTTTTATGAATTAATCCTAATGGGTGCCCACTCTTAAAAGGCTGATCAAAACAAATTAGATGTGCCCATAAGAAAAGAAAAAGTGAGAGAGGATGTAGAAGGATGTAGGAGTGGCCTTTTTTATGCGAAAGTTTATCACTGTAAGGGTAAAGGTAAAGTCTGTATTCAAGCTAAGTGGCCCATTCAGCCAGAGCTTATTCTGGTTTCTTTAGTGTGAAGGGACTAGCAGCATCACTTCTGCCTCAGGATGGGATGCTAGCCCCAGTATTTTATCAGGCTTCCCTGACAATATGCTGGTACCCATTTACAACATGTATACTCCTGGGTGGAGAGAGGCACTATGAGAATTAAGTGAATTAAGAGAATTAAGAGAATTAAGTGTTTTGCCCATCACATTGGGCGTTTGTTTTTCACATCACATTGGGCCAGGGGCCTGTTCTTGAAATTCTTGCTAACTTAACAGGCCTAACGCTGTATTTCAAAATTAAAAGTAAGAGAATAGAGAAGCAGGCTTTGACACCAGAACCAGTCCGCTTTGTTTCTTTAGCTGATAGTTTTATTGTATAATTCTCAAACTTTCTTTCAAACATAATTCTCAAAATTCTTTAACAAATAAAGATGGCGGTCATTTGCAAGCAGCCGAGGATCTCCTCTGCCTATGTGAATACGCAATTCGTCAAAAGCGCCAATACTTTTTTCGGCTGCGTGCTAGCCACAAAGGTTGCTACATTCATTTTCTTTTTCCCACAAGAATGTCTTTACTGGGTGAGCTGTGGTAGATTCAGTACATTTTTGACTTCCCATTGTAAAACAAACTCTGTCGATTTTTCTTTCGCCCGAGAACCAGACGGAGCTACAGGAAATGAGAGCTCGTTTATCGAACTTACAGGAACAGTTCAGGGAAAAAGATGACCGGTTGCAAGAGAAGGAGGGGATAAATCTACACCTGCAAACTCTCTTGAATACAAAAAATAAACAACTGGAAGAGAAAATTAGACAAGAAGAGAATTTATACCAAAAACTGCGAGTAGTAGAAGAGCAGATTTCACAATCTCAAGCACAACTAAGGGAGAAAGAGTTGGAAAAGGCCAACTTGTTAAAGAAAAGAGATCGCCATAACGGAAACCAGCGTGCGATCGTCAGCAGGTGACAAACGCGCGAGATCAATTACAAGAGGAAGAGTTACTGAAGACCAACATGCGGGAGCAACCGGAGAGAAAAGAGCAACAATTATTTGAATCGGAATTGAGATTAAAGGAAATGAATCAACAAATAAGAGATCTGCAAGTTCAGATCAAAGAGAAAGACAGAGCGACTGCTGCTTTGCGAGAACGATTAGGAATTACGGTATAGCAGGTTGGCGAGCTAGAAGAACAGCTGACAAGAAAAGACCGGGAAAAGAATGAACTAGAAAGAAGCCTTTCAACAGCCCAGCAGATATTACGTGACGATCAGGCTCAAAGATCACCAGACTGGGTTATTCCTCGTAATCAAATTCAGCTGACGACAAAATCCCTCGGTAGAGGTGCTTGGGGAGAGGTTGCCCAAGCAAGGTTCTGTGGTTGTCTCGTTGCTGTAAAAACGATATCTGATTTGATTCTTTCTCCTCACAACCGC